CACCTACTTCTCTCTCTCTCTCTCTCTCTCTCTCTCTCACACACACACACACACACACACACACACACACACTTACTTATTTTTAAGTTACCGTAAATTAACTGTGCATGGAGGATTCAAGCAGCTGACATAGAGTGGCTCAGTAGAGGAGCCATAATCTTTGCTCAGGGTACTAAAGCCTGTGATAGTTTCTTTTAATTGTGACTTTCTAATTGAAATATGTTGTCTCATTAGTACATAGAAATTATGGCATTTGACCCAGAGCAATGACACAGGAATCAGACACTCAACTTTCAGCCACCCAGTTGCTTAGAAGTGCCTTAGAAGTGTACATGCATGCATACACACATTTCTTGTGCTACTTCCCATGCTGTAGCTCTGCATGGCCAGAAAGTGAATGACAAATGTGAATCAGAAGTAAATTACAGCAGACAGGATGCACAGGAAGTCAATAAAAGTTAAAACTTTCTTTAGAGGAATATCATAGACTCCTTTTTATCAGTCTTTTTATTTTTTAAAATAAAATATTATAAATGTAGAATCATTGGTCAGTTTCTTTTGGTGTAAACTGAAAACCGGTATCTCTGGGCCCACAACTGTGTTACAAGTTCTTTATGCTTTTGAAAAGCTGAGACTAATATGTAGACTTTTCTATATTATTTTACTTTTCCAAATGTTTTATGTTTATTTTTCTAGAAGCTCAAAGAGAAAAATTAAAATCTTCAGCTTTTTAAAATGTCACAGGCTGAGTTGATGGGAAAGAATGGACTCCAGGCAAGGGATATTCCGTTGATAGGGAAAAATAAGTGTGGATGCACAAGCAGAAATACTCTATTCCTAATCAAATTGATTAACAAGTATTTGTCTTGAACAGATTTTGGTGGCAAAAGGAGCAGCCACCAAATAAAATATCACAGGTGTAATTCCACTCTCAGAACTCCAGCATTTGCAGTTCTGTTTGAACAGCTGCATCCATCATGCAGAGGTTTCTCTTTCCACTGGTTCACCCAAGACCACTGTTCCCAAAGCTGTCTCTAAGCTCTACCTCCAAATACTTTTGTTATTAAAGCTGTCACTCTGAAACCGCTACTGTCAAATAGCAAAGGAGACACCAGTTTCACCTTTTACATATGAAGCTATTTGGGTAACCCTTTAAATACATATAAAAGTAGAATTTATATGTACATTGCAACAAATTCCCTGTAAAATGTGTGGAATTTTAAAATAAATTTGTTTGCACCAGTTTGTTTGTTTACTTGCTGCAAATATAAGTGCAATCTAGTTTTTGGCACAAATGTGGATTTCATGTTTGCATGTACAAGAATTTGTACAAACCAAATTCTAGTTTCACAAACACTAACATTTTGGCTAGAAGTACTTGCATGCTGTCCAAGCACAGAACATAAACAATATCATGTAATTTGTTCTACTCCTCACATCTAACCAACCCAGCTCAAATAGTGACTTTTACATGCCCATTGTGAAAACTAGTCAGGATCAGTTAGTCCAGAGAATTAAAAAAAAAAAATCCACAGATTCTTTCAGATGACAAATCAGTTCTAGGAAATGGTGCTGAGCTCTCAGAGAGATCCTGGGAGAATAAAGTGAGGCTACACCTGTCAGATAACATGTTCTTTGAAAATGATTCTCTGAGCTCTGCCACTAACGATATTGAGCAGGATTCTGTTGCAGTTGGGAGCTATTGACCCTGCTCTGCCTGCGAAAGACTGAGTGAGTGCGCAGTGTGTGCCTAAGACAGCATGAGGCAGAAGAAAAATAAATCCTGCCTGAAGCCTGATCCAAAGCCCATTGAAGTCAATGCAAAGACTCTCACTGACTACTATGTCCCTTCGATCAGGCTTGTTCTCTCTCTCTCTCTCGTAGGAATATTATTATACTAGTAATGGTTTCTCTGGGTCAAGTCCTCTTGCTATAAACTTCAGCTATTTTTTTGTGTGTGGCTTCCCCACAGTTTGTGGGTTTTGCCTCAACCTGTAACCACTGTAAAATATAAGACTGACTTTGCCAAATGCCCTGCCCTTGGCCCAGTCACCATTTCGCCTTCTTTTATATGTACTGTCCCTCATTATATGCATGTAACAAAGTGTGCTGGTGTATGATTTTATAACTGCTTAGGATCTGTATGGAAATGAGATATCTATTTTATGAGGCTTTCTCAGCATGAAAAAATAGTAAAAATAAATACACGAAATATAGATAAGCACTCTGTCACATGCATTGATGTTTAAAAAAAATTTAAATCATTTACCGTAGAAAAATGCAGGATGTATTTAAATGTATTTTCCCTATATCACTCGTATTATGTCATAATATATTCAACAACTGCAAGGCTGTAAATATCCATATTTTATAAACCTATTACGGGCTTCCATTTATTATAGTTAGATTTACTTAAGCCTCAGGTTTTAGCTTTAGATTGGCAAACTGTTTAGAATACCAATTAGAGTAACTTTGGGATTCAGTGTAGGAAGTGGCTCAAATTTATATGATAATAACTGTGTCAAATTAACTCTGATTTTAATGTTCTGGTGTGATATATATAAAACTTGATCGACTCCATCAAATAACATTGACTATAATCCAGTTTCTCTGCAGTCCCATAGCTGACCTGTGCTTCCATTTGATTAAACATTTACTAAATCAGGCTTAATATTTAATAAAATTGTCAAATAAAATACGGTGTTTCTAGTTTAAATGTCTCTCTTCACAGCTCATTGAGCTCCTTGAACAAACAGACAAGTTGCTCATGTCAAATACCACGTCTAGAAATTGTATTTTTTTTTAAAGAGAATCAGTGTTAGCCAATGAAACTGGACTTTTAATCAGTATACATTTCCTAGAACACAAAAGTGAAATGTAAATGTAGTCTTAAAACTCTAATTTTTTGCATTGTAAAATCTAAATTTCTCCATAGCACAAAAACACAAATATTTCTAGTGCATCTTTCAGAGCAAGGACTTTTGTCAGCACAATGGAAAAATATGACTTCTCCCTGAAACTCAAATTTCTGTGACTCTTCTCAGTTTCCCCATATCTTTCAGTTCTATTGGATTAGAACATGGACATTAGTTACCAGTGCATTTCTAAGAAAAGCAATGCCAACTGCAGTGAGAAGCAATGTGAGAGTGTCTGGGTTTTTTTATAGATAAGTGTTAGACATGTCAATTTTGCCCTATTCGACTCACCTCAATTAATCTAGCTGAGAATTTCCTATCTGCTTCTGCAATTTGAACTCTTTAAGCAGCTCAAAACAAAAAGATAAAGTTAAAGAGGGTTCTGAAAGCTTTCATGCATTTCTGTTGCCATGGAAAATGCATCTTTTCATAAAAGATATGGTCTGTACATCCATAGTGACCATCTACCATTGTCTCAAGGCACAGTTTCTAAAAACATTGATGGCAACCACACAAAGGGTATCTAAGCACTGCAAAACACTCAATGACACAAATGTATTTCAGATTTGCACTCAGAGAGTCAAGTGATGTTTCGTTTAACTCCAAAGATGTGTGAGGAGAGTTGATTTGGACTGTAAGTTTGGTCTTACGGGTTCAAAAGTCTCTCATGGTAACAATGGTCCATATAATACAGTATTGAAAATGGGAATACTGGTACAGATTCCACATAATAATACTAATTCAGTAATAGTGTTATGTGGGGAAAATTTCCTTCTCACTCCAGTTATTGATCAGTGTACACCAAGAAGCATGAAGTTTGGTAGCTCCTGTAATTTTATCCTAGGTAATGCAACTGAAAACACTATTCTTAATCATATACATTTTTAATCCCTTTGTGGAGCTTAGTAAGCTATTTGCCCACATGATATCCTGTGGAATATCCTGGAGAATCATGGAATATTTAGACATTTCGCATTGTTGCCTTTTTTATTTTGAGCATCTGTTCATTATAGGAGTAGGATAAATAGGATGACCTGATAAGTTCCTTCTATATTGTTCATTATTTTAGATGTAGACATAATAAACCCTCTTACTCAGGGGTGGACAAACTTTTTGGCCTGAGGGCCGTATCGGGTTTCGTAAATTGTATGGAGGTTACGGGCGGGGGTAGTGGCCCGGCCCCCACCTCCTATCTGCCCCCGATCCCAGACTCCTGCCCCATCCAACCCCCCTGTTCCCTGTTAGCCCCTCTGGGACCCCTGCCCCATCCACACACACCCACTCC